GTCCATACACTGATTCCCTCCTCTGGGTGTTCTTTTGTTGCTGAGCCACAGAGTTTCATATCTAGCCACCCTGGGGGTGTTTGAGTGGCTCTACTTGTTACTGAGTACTGTGTCAGGTGACTATGTGCTTCATTGCTTTAATACATTGATTCCTTACAGTAACACTGAGACAAATACTGTCTGGCCAAGTCCCCAGCCTCTTTGCCATTAATTAACATATAGATTAACTCCCCCCTTCTGTCTGTTGTGTGGTCTCATTGACTTAACTAGAGTAACCATCTTTTTATACCCTTTTTATACCCTTCTCATGATACTAATTACCTTATTCCTTAAAATCTTTTGTTGTCATGACTGACCTTGTGGCATAGCAGATAAAGCTGCAGCACTGGCATTCCATATGGATGCTGCTCTGAGTCCTGGCAGCTTCACTTCCAACCCAGCTCCCCTGTTAATACTCCTGGGAAAAGCAGTGGGAGATGTCTCAAGTGCTTGCTTGGTTCCATACACTCACATGGGAGACCCAGTAGTACCCTGGCTGCTGGCTTTGGCCTGGCTCAGCCTTGGCCATTGTGGCCATTTGGGGAGTAAGCCAGTGAGTGAAAGAACTGTCCGTCTATCCATTACTCACACAGTCTCTCTGTCTTTCCCTTTCTCTGTAACTCTGACTTTCAAATAAGTAAGACCTATAGAAAACAAACAAAGAGATAAGTTCATGAAAAATAGAATTACAAGGTAAGGGTTTTGTTTTTTAATCTTTTAACATTTTAGTCCACTGTTTATTAAATTGGCTTTCTCTTCCCTAAACTGTATCTCCTAAACTGTGGTGCCCGTGAACTTCTCTGGTCTTCTTTTAGCCATGGTGATTTTAGCAAGTAGAGGAACACTCACTGAATATTGAATGAACAAGTGGTGGTACAGAAAAATCTGACTTACTCTCTGACATTTATTATGCAAGTATGGTGTCTGCTGTTTACTTCTTTTTTCATAGAAAAGAAAAAGGATGTATTTATTTGAAAGGTAGAGTTACAGAGGAAGGGAAGTAAAAGGAGAATGAGATCTTGTGCCTGCTGGTTCATGTCCTCAGCGTCTGCAATAGTTAGGGTTGAGCAAAGCCCAGATCAGCAAGCATGAACACCAGCTGTGTCTTCACATGTGTGACAGAGAGCCAAGTTCCTGGATCACTGTCCATTGCTTCCCAGTGTACAATATCAGGATCCTGGATTAGAGAAGCTTAAAGGTCCCGGAAATGAGTAAGCATTCCCATGTGGGATGCAAGTGGTAGCTTAGAGTTATCCTGCTGTACCTCAACACCTCTTCTGTTTTATCTTCTTAATAGCTTCTCTCATATTTAATTTATAATGGTGTAAAGATGAATAATTTTGGACACCTTAGGAATTCTGATTTACATTAATATATGGTCTCATTGTATTTCATTTATGTACTAACTCTCCTGGTATCTTAAGATTGAATGTTTTTGGAGACACTGTTTGAAAGACCTTATTTCTTTAAAAAAAAAAAAAGAAAAAAAGATTTATTGTTATTGGAAAGGCAAATGAGATTTATAGAGAGAAGGAGAAACAAAGAGAAAGATCTTCCATCACTGGTTTATTCCCCAAATAGCCACAATGGCCAGAGCTGAGTTAATCCAAAGCCAGGAGCCAGGCGCTTGTTCTGGGTCTCCCATGGAGATGCTGGGTTCCAAGGCTTTGGGCCACAAGCAGAGAGCTGGATGGGAAGTGAGGTAGCCAGGACAAGAACTGGCTCTCGTGGAATCCTGGCTTGTGTAAGCTGAGTATCTAGCCGCTGAGATGTTGTGCCGGGCCTGTTTAAAGACCTTTGAACTAATTAAGTTAAATGTAGTCATTAAGATTTAGTATGTGTGGTGTCCTTGCAAGAAGTCAGAAGAAGTTTGGACACAGTTGCCTTCAAGGGAAGACAGGGAAGAGAAAGGCATAAGCAGGCTGAGGAGAGGGCCTCAGAAGGAATCAGCTCTGCCTGTGATGTGATGTGATGTTGGACCTCTTGTTTCCAGAAGTGGGAGAAAATAAATTACTATTGTTCAAGCTGTTCAATCTATTGCATTTTGATATGGCAGCCATGGTAAACTCATATACTTAGTGTCTTTTGATGTAGGAGGGTTCCAATTCTTGTGTCTTGGGGTATCATTGGGGAATGAATGGACACAAGGATCAAATGGAGCCTGTCTCTACAGCTCAAATTTTCTTGAAGTGTTTGAAATTTGTCCTCAGAAATAAAAGCCATTTTTTTTCACTAGGTAGCATGCATCATTTGCTACTAGAAAGAGTATTTTCCCCTCTCCCTTTATCACGAAAACAATTCAGTGCAAAGCATGAAGCCATTAAAAAATAATTTATCCTCATTTATCGCATTGGTTTAAACAAATAATGAGTTGAATATATTCTTTGTTCTTGTTATAAGAGCTAGAATGCAGTAAGTTCTCTTTGCAGCACACAGCTCTGCCAAGTGCAGTATCAAACTATCAGGGAAGATATTTGCTGAAGTGAATTGATTAATTCTAGAGCAGTCTTCTGGAAGTTCTGACTGCGGGAAAGAAAATACATTGGAGCACTCGATTTGGTTTTTTCAGCTTTTCCTAGTCGTATTGCAGGTTGTCTTGTCAGCTCAGAATGCTCAGTCTTTCTGTGCTTCCCCTCCCACATCCTACTCAGTCCTCCAGCCAACCCCTAAGCTGTGGCTGTAGTTTAGCTACATTAGAGACTTTGTTCACAAAGTTCAATTTTGTCTGCTCAGAACAAATCTTATCTGAACATCCCAAATTATATAGTAATTGCAGCTTGATCGAAGATCTTAGGAAGTACTATCTCAAAGCCTTCCTGTGATGCTGCCATTGACTTCCTAAGTGGATGCAAATCCATCTGATATTTAGAGAGAGAACCTGTGGTCCTTTTGTAAGAACCAGCTTTTTGTATTTTTCTAGAACTACTCTATTCTGTTTTGAACTTGTACTATATTCTATCATGTAGATGTATAAGATAGTTGGTCTCTAGATGTAATAGCTCTAATTTTTGAGACATTAATGTGTTATTAAATTGCCTTTCTGCCTTTCTTTTGCAAATTGAGCAGTATTGGTTCTGTATTCTTACAGGATTTGGCATCTTTAATTATGTATAAGACTTGTCATATATGCTTTTCTGTATTTTATTGTAACACTTTGATGGAGAATCCAGCACTGGGACAAACAGATGGTCTGTTTCTGCACTCTGGACCAGAAATATGAATTTCAGGCATTTTAGTTCTCATTTCAATTTAGTGATCAAAATGTATAGTAGCTACATATAAAAAGTTTTTATTTTTTCTCTATGACAAAAAGTAGTCAGAACTGAAAAATTGCAGATTATCATTTGACTTCATATGCTTTGATACTGTTATTAGAAATTTATCTCACTAACTAGAACTTAAAGCAAGAACTTTATCTGACTTGTAACCTCAACATTGTTTCTCACTGGTCGGAGGGTGGAAATAAGGCATTTAGCTTCTTTCTGTTTCATTTTATTTGTGAAATTGAGGAAGGAAAAGATTACAATGAGATGATTTCTCAATTGTCTTCTAGTTCAGATGTATTGTACACTCTGCTTCTCATAGCAGCAATAAACTGAGTTAAGTATAGTTGGAGTGACTAATTAATTTGTTTGAAACACATATGCTGCTATGTCAGCAATGGCAATATGGTGATAAATCAAGCATCTTTGAAAAAATTTATATGTTATTAGGGAAAAGAGACATGAAAACAAGTCTCTTATAAATAGGGCTGTTGTAGAAGGCTCAGACAATCTAGGCAAAGTGCAGGGTTTGGTGAGAAAGCCACAGCAAAGGCCCAAATAAGAGCAATGCAAGAGCAGCCTGCTGGAGGGCAGCAGCTTCCTGGTAATACAGATGCTGCAGGAAGTAGAAGTTGGGGCCACTTCACCCCCAAGGGGTGGAAATAGGGGTTGGGGAAGAAACAGAATTTTTTTAAAAAAATTTTATTGGAAAGGCAGATGTACAAAGAAGAGAGATAGAGAAGAAGATCTTCCGTCCCATGGTTCACTCCCCAAGGGAACACAACAGCTGGAGCTGAATCAATCCAAAGCCAGGAGCCAGGAGCCTTCTCCAGGTCTCCCATGCGGTACAGGGTCCCAAGGCCCTGGGCTGTCCTCGCCTGCTTTCCCAGGCCACAAGCAGGGAGCTGGATGGGAAGTGGAGCTGCTGGGATTTAGAACTGATACCCATATGGGATCCCGGCGCGTTAAAGGCAAGGACTTTAACTGCTATGCTATCATGCCGGACCCAGGAATTTTTTAGGAGGCTGATCCTTATACGTGGGAATGAAGAGCCAAGGTAAAGGTTTCTTGGGAAAATAGAAATCTTTTTTTTTTTTAAAGATTTATTTATATTACAAAGTCAGATAACAGCGAGGAGGAGAAGGGACAGAGAGGAAGATTTTCCGTCCAATGATTCAAACCCCAAGTGACCACAGTGGCTGGTGCTGTGCTGATCTGAAGCCAGGAGCCAGGAGCTCTTCCGGGTCTCCCACGTGGGAGCAGGGTCCCAAAGCTTTGGGCAGTCCTCAACTGCTTTCCCAGGCCACAAGCAGGGAGCTGGAAGGGAAGTGGAGCTGCTGGCATTAGAACCAGTGCCCATATGGGTTAGCGGCCATGGCACCGGGCCTGAAAATAGAAATCTTTTAGAGAGTTTGTTCTAAAGGAAATGATGACAATGTAATTCAGAGCTAGAATGAGGATAAATGGATGGTGAGATAGCAGATAATGCAAACACAGTAAATAGAGGAATGGACATTTGTAGCCCAATTCCTTCCATGTTTCTGCATGTTTGAAGCTTTTATGATATTGAAAAATAATTTTATAATATTGGAGAGGACAAAAATGTAAGCTAAAAGATTTAGCTTGCAACAAAACCAAGGAGATACTTATTACTTTCATTAACCTTTAACTAAGATAATTTCTTTTTGTGTTCCTTAGGTTAAAGAAGAACGTCCAGAAAACATACCAGATTTAAAGTTGCTAGTAGAGAAGAAATTTTTGTCCTTACAGAGTAAGAATTCTGATGCCGACTTTCAAAATAATGAGAAATTTGTACAGTTTAAGCAGCAGCTGAAGGAACTAAAGAAGCGATGTAAGTAAGCATGCTTTGCTTTGGCTTTTTGAAATTAGGGAACTGACTTGCTGAGTGGTCCCAGAAAGCGGATTTTCTGAAGTTTGCTTATCTGCTTGGCTTGATCCTCTTTCTAAGTTGCTCCTTACTGTTGTGGCAGTGCTGTATTTTGTCCGACTTTTGGTTCAAACCAGCCTGTCCCATTGCTGAAAGGCAACAGTTTCCACAAAGTGCTCAGAAAGTAAACAGCAGCTGGAAAAAAGCGCACCTACTGTCCCGTTGCTGCTCCTGCTCCGAGAGTGTTGAGGGGTGACTGGGAAAACAAAATAAAACCCGAAACAGTATTATTAAAATAGCAATAGTAGCTTTCAGATGTTTAAACTGCCGTGCCAAACTTTAAAAGAACCACACTTTAATTTTGAATTCACTGCCTTGAAGTAATATTTCTGATGTCTTCTCAGTTCCTTTTATTCTCAAATTCGAGCGTACTTTAGAAGTTAATGAAAAATACATTATTTATATATATGTATATGTGTGTGTGTGTGTGTGTGTACCTATATACATATATATATAACACATGTGCATGGATTTCAGGATTTTGTTTTGTGCTAAAATGAACCGCACTTTTAATTCTATTTTTCTACAAACTTTTTGCGATAACCTCAGATAGACCAAAATATCCTTGATCTGTTTTTTATCTTATCTTTATGGTACTATACATTCTGTGATTTCTTTTTAAAGTTGTTACTTTCTAAACATATAGGTCAGTTTTTTCACACGAGTCTGTGTTTATTGACATAGTCTTGTCTTCTTTTAAATTGAGGCAAAATTCTGTAAGAAATTGAATGAAGTAACAAATAGCATTCTTTTTTTTTCTGCCTCAGTGTCCTGTCATCTTCATTACTGACATATGGAATGGGAATGTTGTATGGTGTGAGACGTATTCATTTCATCATTTTTATATACTCAGTGTAGGGATTCATATTTTGAAATACATTATTTTAAGTATAAGCATTTTTCTTTAAATTGATGCTGAGATCTCAAAAAATGGCTGAGGAAGCTGTTTCTGTCAACTTCATAAATAACTTAAGTTTCACAATTTGGAATGTTTTGCAATCATGATGAGACTTGCTTTTATTGTAGACTTAAACAGTAAGCATTTCCCTCATATTTTATATCTATATTTTGTTCTTCATTGAACATCATTGCTACCAGAATCTTTCTGATGGAATTTGCACTGTTCCCCAAATGAGTAATAATTCTCGCAAATGGATAATAATTTGCTAGTACCTTTCTTAACCTCACTAACATCTTAAAGATTTAGTGTATTACAGTGTCAGCCATGGTCAAAACAGCCAAATATATTTTATTTTACAGCTTTGAGCCAGTGTTCACAAATTATGGCAGACATAGCATCCAGTAAGACTTGTTGTAATACACCTTGAAGGATGCATATCCCATCATGTAAATTTCTTTCTTTATTGCTGTTTACAAAGTTAACATTAAGAGAAATTAAGAAATTATAGAGTTTTAGAATCATGTATTCATGAGAAATACATGTTGATAGTGTTAGTCACTTGATAGGAAGGGCACTTGTTCTAACTAACAACATAGTGATAAGTGTCAGAATCATTTTTATTTTTTCTAAAATGGAAAAAAAAAAAGCAAGGTTTCCAGATTTCCCAAGGTCAGTGATATGCTTGGATAGTTTGGACAGCTAAGCTTTGTGACCAGGTAAATTTATATTGAAAGGAATTGCTTCCTTCTGTGATTTCCCCAAGTATTGTAATACTGGAATTTAAACAACTTTCCTTTTTAGTTCCCATAAAATATTCTTTTAAAAATTTATTAAATGGTGAAATAAATAAAATACTAACACTCTTTGAAAATGCACTATAAAGTGTGTCTGCCTTACTTACAAAGTTTAATTCTTAGTTCAGTATTGTTAGCACTGCTGACAGTAAGCTCACATCATGTCTAGAAGATCTTACTTCTTCAGATTTAACTCTGCTATGAGTTCTGATTAGGATCATCCTCCAAAGTGTAAAATGGCCACCATATTTATTATCTGAGAACAGAAATGCATGAGATTAAATTTCACTCAGTGAGTATCAGGGACGAGAGTTGCCAGCAGACACTTAGGTTGGAAGAAGCCAAGGTGGCGATGGCAGTGGGCTGGTCTGTCTGCTGCTTCTGTCTGCTCTGCTGGTCCAGGGACATTCTTGGCAGTAGTAAGCTCAACCCATGGGAGCCCAGCCACTCATTCTCAAAGCTCGTTTTCTGCCCCCATTTTAGTCTTAAAATTACGTGAGAACTCCCAGATTATCTTTTGTTCGCATGAGTTTTACCAATTTGTTATAATAAAATCAAAAGTAAGGATTCTCAAAGTTTTTTTTTTTAAATAAAATTTTATTTTAATATTCTTTACATAGTTAATTAGGGTAAGAAGGTTCAAGGGCTACAGGAAAGTGGATAAGACTAGTATGTTTTCCATATTGTTACCTTCATGTTTAAAGGGGGGTATTAAGGGAGAAGGCCCACCCAATTTCCCACCCTCCCCAGGTGCCGGATGTAGGGCATGCTCTGAGGTTCTTGCTCAAGTGGTTTTGATATTGCAACAGTTATGAATTGCTGTCAATCTTGCCACTCCAAGCACTATGCGGTCTTTGAAAAATCCACTGATTGACATAGTCCACCATAGCGGAGATGGTTCAAAGTTTTTTTTTAAATAATAGGATGTACCATGACATGTTAATATCAACATCATTTGATATGAAACGTGATCTATTTTATCAACATTCAGAAGAGCAGTACTGTTTTACAGTTTTGTGCCTGTCTTCAATGCCTGGCTTCATAGACGACGACGAGATCCTCACTTTGCCCTGTTGCGCACCTTGTCTAGGCTAGGGCAGACATTGGCAGATGTGTTTCCTGACAGGATCGTGGAGAACATAGCAAGTTTTCATGTTGCGAACCCCAGATTTAGGCCAAATCAACTTCCCACCTCTTTTTCTATGGATCAAAGTTAAGAAAGGTGTTTTTCTTTAATGTGTTTAATTGTTGCAATAAAATTCAGAGGAATACAGTTTTGCAACACCTAAATGATGTGAAATCCCGGTTCAGTGTTGGGTTCTGAGGCCGGATTGGAGCAGAGGCATCTTGTGTATCGTCATAGGGTCTGACAGCACCGAGCAGATGTGAGTGCTTGAATCAGAAATCATCTGGCCAGCGGGTAACTAACTCCTTGAAGAAGTAGTCTACTGATCCCTGACCTAAACAAACATGGTTTCTTATTTGTTTTTATTTTTTAAAAAGGTTTATTTATTATAAAGTCATATATAGAGAGAGGAGGACAAAGAAAGAAAGAAAGATCTTCATCTGTTGGCTCACTACCTAAGGGGCTGCAATGGCCAGAATTGAGCTGATTCAAAGCCAGGAGCCAGAAACCTCCTCTGGGTCTCCCATGCAGGTGCAGGGTCCCAAGGCTTTGGGCCATCCTCGCCTTTTTCCCAGGCCATAAACAGGAAGCTGGATGGGAAGTAGAGCTGCCAGTATATGAACTGGTACCTAAATGGGATCCCGGTGCATGCAAGGTGAGGACTTTAGCTACTAGGCTACTGCGCCAGGCTCTATTTTTTTTTATTTTTAAGTGAAGATTTTCTCCTCAGTGCAGGCCGTTTGTCTTCTCTTTTTCTTTCTTTCTTTCTTTTTTTTTTTTTAATAGATAGAGTGCCTACTATGTATGAATCACTGCAGTTATTCTGTGAAATGAATGAAAGGCTAAGGGCCTTGGAGAAGGTTGTGTATCCAAATATGAAAATGTGGAAGATTTATATCCAAGATTAAATCAAAGCAAGCAGGTGTCATGTGAGACCTAAGTGAACACAGATGCATCTGTTGTGTTGATAGTGCTAGTCACTTGAGAGGGAGGGGCACTCTGGGCACTTGTTAAGAAAGATTCTAAGGATGGGTTTGGGCCCAGCAGGAAAGATTATAATGATGGATGCAGTGGCAAGCGGAAGGAGCCATATAGGTGTCTGATATTACCAACCCTAAGAATACAAATGATATTCTCTAGTCACTTAAAAGATATTACTACTCCCAAAGTAACATGTTTCAGTTGCACATAGTATGTTTCAATAATTCTGTCTTATATATATATATCACCTCGTATTGACTCTCACCTCTTTGGATAGATCTTTGTATTCTGTGGATACCTAGTATTTATATAAAATGCCTCAAAATTCATGGGTAATGAAAGTTTAATTTTTTTTTTTAATATTACTTTTCCATACTTTTGGAAGCCCCGTCATGCAGAGATTGTTGTATCTGTCACAACTTGTCAGGATTACATGACTTACATGTTTAGATCAGGGATGTAAGTTTTACAGAGTTGTTGGTGAGAAAGAGCTTATATAGCATTGTGGGAAGATTGAGTTGAATATTCAGGAGGGTTTTCGTTCCTTAATGTGCAGTATAGCCTCCTGTGGGGCCCCCTGATTCTATTTCTCATTCTTGAAAGCATACAGTCAATATGGATTTAAAATAACTTTTTTTGGGGGGGGGGTGAGCTTCATTCCTCTCTTATGAAAAACTTGGTTGCTTTAACTTAAAGTTATTTTTTAATTATTTATGTATTTATTTTTGTTTTTCAGGAACCAGTCCTGGGGATTTAGGGATTTCCGCTTCTCCCTCCGCATCCCCTCTCCTCCACTCTGTTTCCCTGCACTGTTACAGTAGATAGTCCTTCAGCAGGGACCACAAGTCTGTCATTCTGCTATTTAAGTGTGTCATGACATTGCAGGCGTAGACAATGGTAGAAGGTCCAGCATCCTACTTCAGATATATGTAACAGGTTTTTTTTTTTTTTTTTTTGATGTTCTGTCATTCAGGAGCAGGGATGCATATTGCAATATAATAAGATTACTTTTATATTTCTGAATAAGATGACCGAGGAAGAGATGGTAGTGATAACTAAATTAGGGAGTAATTTCAAAGGAAAGCATTCCATTTTCATCAAT